AATTAAATTCTCTCCTACGTGGGGTTTTTTTCGCACAAATTAGAGTCAGGCAGTCAGACACATTGTTGACAGTTTAAACCTAAATAAACACACGTGCTGGTGCCACGCCCTCTTACACATACACAAACAGGCTCGCAGTTACACACACGTACACACGACCGACACTTGAAGACGGCCATAAAGATAAATGTTTCATACACGTGAATTGCTTTGAATAAAAGCTTTGTTTGGCTTGTTTCATGTGGAAGGAAAAGCAAACGAGAGACCAAACAAACTAACATGTGAGCAGGAAGCGAGAGGAGATCTTACCCTAAAGGATCCCTGGGAGTGATGGTCGCAGTCATGCTAAACATAACTCATACGCCCCGTGGTCCTCAAGCACGTTTTAGATTCTAGCAAATTAACATTGCCGATTGCATCTGAAGTTTAATTGTGATGCTCAAGAGGAAATTAGCTTCAAACGAGGGCTAAAGCAAAGTGTTGAATGGAATTCAAAATAACGAGAAAAATTTAGGTGCCAGGATTAAAGGACAACCCACATAGAAAGAGAGTGGCAATCTTGGCTGGAAACTCAATTTGGAATTGTAATAATCGTTGGATATATTTTAAATATTGGTAGAATATTGCACTATCCATGAGTCTACAATCTCTGATCTAATAAATTTACTATCCACTCAGCCTTGCTATTCCTTTTGTCTTTGTACCCATACTCGTACACACTGCCTTAAATAAATATTTTATTAAATAGATTTATTTTCTTCTACAAACAGATATGCATCTCTGAAAATTAAAGAGCTTCTCGTCTGAGCATATATTGTAGTATATATGGATGTACTTTTATATGCGTATGATGTTCCAATTGAGATATTAAACCAAATGCCTGACCATTAAAAATCGCACGCGTTTCCATAGATACACATACACAGATGTGTACGTGTGTACATAGGAGTATCTGTGCGTGGTTCGTGTTCGTATAATTTATTATAAGATGCTTCATCTTAAGGAGGCCGCTAAAAGTAGGAAGGAAAGAGGCTGGCTGGGGCCATAAATTCGGTTTAATAACATATTCAAATTTAGATAATATCCGTCTCTAGTGCAATATTTATGCCTGCATCCCTTTTGTCTCTCTCTCTCCCTCTCTCTCTCTCTTACATGCACACGTGTTTGTGAGTGAGGATTGTGCAATGTCAGACGCCTGAAAACTCAACTGAGTTATGTGAACACCTAAATTATCCAGGCGACAGACCCACAGCATAGCCTACTCGTGGCTCATTCCACCGACGGACGAATTCCTTGGCGAATTCCACCATTACCTTTTGAGCTCGAAGGCAGGCAATGAAGTCTCAAATTCCCCCCTTATCGTCTGCTTATCTTTATGCCTGTGCCAGCTCCCAGCTTGCGGATTCATAGTTCGGACTGGAAAAACTTCTGGGCTGTGCTCCTTTACGTAAGAATCTTCATGAATATGTATTCCTCGGGGATGTCGTAGGTCTGTCTGGGTTTCTCTCTCTCTCTCTCTCTCTCTCTCCGTGTGTGTGTGTGTGTGTACTCTTGTTATTAATGAAGCATTTGCTATGGCTCCACTGACTTAGCGGATTTTTTCATTCGAACTGGAAATGGTTGAGGAAAAGCAATAGGGATTTTGTGGGGATTTACATGAATTGAGTGACGACTGCCTTCGTTTGCAGCTTGCTCTGGGCGAAGCTGATGCTGCTCTTGCTCTTTTCGCGCCATCTGCGGATGTGATTTCCGTATCAAACGTACATATGCATGGCCACGCCCCACGGCCAGACATCGACATCTAGCCAACCCAGACAACCCCCATCTCCACCACCAATTGCCGCTTTCAATGGCCAGAACTGAACAAGAAATGGAAATTTATTGAACAGCATTCATATGCTGCGCATTATTATTATCGATTAGGGGGCGGACTGGCTACGCCTGCTCCGGGTGACGGGCGCATCTTGAAGATGTTTTTTCCATCTCTTTCGGCTCTGTATATCGCTGTGTGTGTGTGTGTGTGTGTGTGTGTGTGTGTCGCTGTACATGGGGTTGCCATGCCAGCATCCGAGATTGAGATACAGCCAGGCACAGCCAGGCCATGCAGTTCAGCTCTCTAGTTCCCATCGACACTGATAAAAAACACCGAGAGCACATCTCATGCCACTTTATTTATGCCATCGATAAAAGATATCCTTTTTGCCTCTTAGAAAAAAGTGTGCACGCTGACGGGGGGTCGGGCAACATCTGTCTGAAACTAAACGGCATTTCAGCAATAATCAAGGGCATCTTGTTGTTGTCATTGAATGGCGGCAGTCTGCAGTGCCCAAGCCCAACCCGAATTGAGGGACACGTGACCCGGCAGAAGGTAACAAAAAGTTATAGACGGGATGAAAAACCATCCGGCAGTAGTGGAGTGGTAGCTCAGATTTACACTAAATTGATATGTTCTCAGCTGAAAGCATATTTTTCTGGCTCATACTGGTCGCTGTCCTTCTGATCCTGGACCATCGACCATCGACTTGCTCAGGGAATTTTCAGCAAAAACACACAACGGGCGAGAGAGACAATTCGTAAAAAATCATTTAGGAAAATGAAAGACGTGACTTCGTTGCATTTTCAGCTTCTTGGGATGTTCATAAAAGAAACCAAATTGATTTTTCTATAAAAAATAGAAGAAACCAAGAATGGAGCGTAACCAGAAAGTGGCACATCCGCACACAGACACACAGACACACAGCCACACACATGGACTGAGAAAGAGAAACGCTTCCAGGCAGCCGCAAAAGCTGAAGCAGAAGTAGGCCACACTAGCACACCCACCACAGCCCCCCACAGCCCCCACACCGCCCTTCTAAGCCCACAAAACCTTGTTTGGGCTGCACTTGAAGGCGATTCTGAAGTTGGGGACTCACCGCCCATAAACACTATAGAGCCTGTTTTGGGATAGAAATAGGAGATTTTGGCCAAGGATCAGAATAGTTTAAGAATACCTTAAGTTATATTACAAAAACGTCGTCTCTTGATCATCTTTGCTCGTTTCATCCTCTCCTGAGAGCATTCGCATTGGCCAGAGGCTTTAACCTCATTGCAACTTAGCCCACTTTTGGCTCTGGCTGTGGCTCTGGCTCTGGCTTTTGCCTTGCCACTTACGAGAAACTGGAAAAGCAACGGCTTTCCTTATTGGCAGCGATTCGGTTGCGTTATGGGCTGATGATTGAGTGCGGCCTGAGAGAGTGCTTCTAATGCAGAGCGTGCTGAAGCATGACACTCGACAATTGCTGTGGCAGCCACGTGCGCCACTCTGCACAATTGTTGCAGAGCTCCGATTCAGCTTTAAGATCATTTGTCCACCCATCACCACCCAGTGCTGTGCTCGCACGGCAAACTGCTGTTCGCGTGGACATTTTTGAGCGAAGTTTCAATCGAGTGCCCCGTGAGTGATATCCGACAAATCCTCTAAAAGCAGCAGGCAAGCAGCTGAAACTGCAACTGAAATAAAGTTGAAGTAAGCGACAGGGGCATGCATCAGCGAACGGTAAGCTGATTATGTAACACACACACACACACACGCTAAGAGAGAGCGAGAGAGTGTGCATAGTAGATAGCATTAACATACGGCGCACATTGAAGCCATTTTGTTTCTCAACTTTTCAACAGCTGTTTTTCAACAGTTTTTATTTTTTTATTAGTGACTGCCTTGAAAACAAGCTAAAATATGCGCTTTTGAAACACTTTTGCTGGCGGCTGGCGGCTGGCACAACAAGACATAAGAAATTCAAGAATTCTAGCTTATGTGGGAGAATTTATCAAGAGTGCAGCTGCAGCTGGCCCAAAGAGCCTTTCAAAAATGCAAGACGACCAGACTGTAATTCGGTCGCTTTCGATTAAAGACTGCAAATGTGAGAGCCATAACGGCTAAGAAAAGAGTGCAAGGGGAGGAGTTTCTTAATTGATAAAGGCTTTTTCCCGGGCCAGAAAACAAAGTCTGAGGATGGAATGGAACGCAATTTGGCCCGAACTTGGCAGTCATGTGAGAGAGCCAACACTATTACTCGATGGGGACTGACGGAGAGCCCTGTCTGAGCGCCATGACATTTGAATAATGCACGGACCGAGTGAATGGGCTAAAGTAGAAGCAGGAACAGGAGCAGGAGCACAGGCCAGGCAGTAGACCACCAATTCATTATCGATTGAATCGATGTGCAATGAGAATTGAAAGCTGATGGATATTGCCTTGAAATCGAAAAAGAGGAAAGCAAAAAGCAAAGCAAAGGGGGAGATTTGATAATGCCACAAGTCAAAGGAAATTCAATAAAAAAAAAAAAAAACAGTGGAGAAAACCCATAAAAATCCCTTTCTCTAAAGAAGGAGAGAGCTGGATTCCGCAGTGTGTTACGAATCAATGGCTGGGCTTTTGAGGCCTTTTGTTTTGTATTTACTCGATGGACGAATGTAATTGTCAGTGCGGCACACTCCCACCCCCCTGCCGCGCACTATCTGCACCACCCATCCCATTAGGAGTCAATGCCAGAGAGAGCCCCCAGGCCCCCCAAACCACTCTGTCAACAGCTCAACATATCAATCATACGCAATGTGCTGCGTGTTTCGTGCGTGCCCTAATGCCTCCGCTGGGGAGCTCACGGAGCAGAGGGGGGTGGCGTGTGCCGTCGAGTGGGGGTACACACATGCGACGCCTGGTCTTATAAATAATTTAGACCGCATATTACTCCCAAATAACAACAAACCAGCACCTCAGACTGCCTTTGACAGACACATTCCCGTTCCCCCTGAAACATAAAGGCACGAAAAAAACCTGTCATTAGTGAATTATTTAAATTACATTGACGCCATGAAAGCAAAGTAAATATCGGAAGTGCCATAGCGGAGAAGGAAGTTCCCGTTCTTCAAACATATTCACTTTAAATGGTATTTCCAATTTGACTTGGTACGCCAGTTAGGATCTTCAGGACAGGGCGGATCCTCAAGGCGGCACTCACCTGAGATTCTCAATGCGCGGCCTTCGGCACTGCGGACGATTGCGTCGATGGCTGCGGTCCTTTTTGCAGCGGCAGTCGCAGTGCATGATGCACAAGGCGATGGATGAGATGACCGTTATCACAAAGGGCACCGCGAAAAAATTGATGATCACGGCCACCTGATCGTCGTGACTGTAGGACGTGAGCACTACGGTCTTGTTCTTCCGCGAGTAGTAGCACGGATAGATGGCGCCGTCGGCGCCGTAGTAGTCGTTGAAGGTCTTGCACGTGACCGTGGGCGGGTAGCCGCAGCCCTTAATGTTCACTAGCAGCGTGGCCTCCCCGGACTGCTCCCAGTCGGCCGTGTAGTTGCTAAAGTCGGTCATGTTCTCCGGAATGGTAATGTTCTGCTCGATGAACGTCACGTAGATATGCACGCAGCGGTAGAGGTCAGAGGTGCAGCCCTCGCGGCAGGAGCTCCAGGAGCAGTTGAAGATGCCCACCAGATCCTCGCGACGCGTGGTCGTGCAGAGCGTGGGATTCTCGATGAAATCGTGGCTCAGCGTGGAGATGGCCGGGTCCACGTAGAGCGGCACCAGGAAGAGCAGCGAAGCACCGGCGGTCACCGAGAAGAAGGCCAGAGTCGAGGTGCCGTAGAAACGCGCACGTTCCCGCCACGAGCGAAAGCGCCGATTGCCATTTTTCTTTTTTGGAGCCAGTTCTCGGATTTTACGTAACCGTAGCTCTTGTTGTTGCTGCTCGAGTAGTAATTCCGAACTGCCACTCCTCATATTATTGTCCGTGCACACAGGGCGCTGATGTTGCTGATTGTTGCTGCTGCTGCTATCGTCCTTGGCGTCGGCGTTGGCGTTCGCGTCGCAGCAGCAGCTGCAACGGCATCAACGAGTGCGTCGTGCTTCTGCTTCTGCTACTGCTTCGGATGGTCCTGGTTCTGGTTCTGGTTCCCCGCGTTGCACTTCAACCGTATATATGTATGTGGGTGTTGTGTTGGGTGTGCGACAGAGAGGGACAGATTGCAGCCGGCGTTGACAGCGGCAGTGGCAGCGGCAGCGGCAGCGTCGTGCTCTGCCTACCTACCGCAACATAGAGAGAAGCAGCGCAATTCGGATATTGAGGTTATGTACACACGCTTCGGCGCAGAGAGGCCAGGCGACATAGAGAGGGCGCAAATGAGAGACGGATGATAGGCTGGCTAGCTAGCTAGGTAAGGGCGAAACAGCTGTTTCACAGTCAGAAAAAAGTGAGAGAGAGGCGCCGCTCTGGTGTTCATTGGTTTTAAATTGTAGTTCACTGCGCTCCCTGGCGGTTTCCCCTCACACAATTTCTGTCATTTAATTGGCCGCTCATTGGATCACTGAACAAAAAAAAGCAACAACATTAGCACTAAAATCACTCAGATTCGTTATGTTTTCGTGGGTGAATCGGCGAGTGGGTGGCTCTCCCAACAGCTGTTGATGTAGGTTAGTTTAAGAACAAGAGCGAGAGCGAGAGCGAGAGTGAGAGCGAGAGCGGACGTGAGCGCGAGTTGAGAGCGCGCGTCGGAAATCGAGAGAACATCGCTGTCGACGCCACTGTCACAGCCAACGTAAACGGCAACGGCTACGTCGACGCTGGCGTAGGCGTCAGCGCTGTCGCCCCAGTGACTGTGTAACCTTTTTGCTTGTGTGTTGCGGGTGGAATCATTTATGCTACACATTTTAATTGCATTGTTGTTGGTGCCATTTTATTACTTTTAAATTTACATCCTTTTCCCCACTAAACTCAATGCGAATATATCCCTAATATATAGAAGTTGTCGCGCTGTTCGAAAAACCTCTCCACTAGATGGAACTCTTGCTCCTGCCTGCCATGACATCCGTTCACCTTGATATTCTATTCGGTGTTGTTGCCACTTCGCGTGACTCTGGACGTGGGTCAATTTGGACATTAGCCGCAGTCCCACAGTTTTGTTTCGGACCTCTTCGCTTGTGTTTTTTTTTTCCATTTTATGGCCGGTGGACCGTTTTATTTCATTCGCTTTCGCCTTTGTCCTGGCACGCATTTCACAATTTTCATCATAGACAGAAACACAGACGCAGACACAGACACGCTGGCTTAACTGTTATTGTGGCCTAACTGTTATAGTTGGTATGATTTCATTCCCATAAGCTGTATCTACGCGTATGTGGGGCTGGGCTGGCCCAGGCCCACGCGGCGTATGAGTAATACACTGACCGACAGTACATACGACAGTACGTGTAGCCCTGGCTCGAGGAAGTGTGACATTTAAGCGATTCAAACGGTAGCAGCACTTCCACCCACAATACAAACAGTTGGAAAACACAATAGCTTTTCCACTTCGTACACACATCAGCAATCAACAATCAGCAAAGGCTGTGATTGGAGACTTGGGGGGGGGGGGGGGGGGGGGACATATCGCCAAACTTCTTGAGCGCCTGCCATTGCCATAAAAATTACGTCTCAAGTATAAACCAGCCGCCCACGCCGCCTTTTGGCCTACGACCGCCAGGACGGACAGGCCCCAAGTCGGGCAAACGGAATGGAAAAGAGAGATGGAAGGCTAGAGCCCAGAATGAAAGTAAAATGGAAATGGAAATAGAAATAAAACATTCAGCGTCGAGCGTCGAACTAACTTTCAAGAGCAGAAATGGCAGCTGCTGCCCTGCAGCCCACGCGGTTTTTTGATTTTGTTGCTAACGTTGTTGCTGCCGGATGGAGGGAGGAGGGGGCGGCACTTTCACTTGATTTATTTATTATTTTTTTCACTTTTTCGTATGGGATTTTCGTATTTTGCACAATGCTACGCCGATTACGGCACGATATTTGCCATAGAATTAGAAAATGCCAATAGTGCCATTGGCTCTGGCGCTGGCTTTTCCGCACGCACGCACGCACACACACACACACGCACACATAGAGACAGACAGACAGAATCGACACGAGAAGCGCGCGCGCTTGGCCCTGACGTGCCTCTCGGAGTGTCCAAAACTAATGCCACCAGCGACGGCAGAGCCGCCACAACAGTCGAGTTTAGTCAACGACGCGACGCCAGCAGCGACGCCAGCGTTTTGAGGAGCTGCGCAACCAGGCCTGCCCCCCTTTATGTCCCTGTACATGGTCGAATTATTCGCAAGGTATGGCGAACTCAAAGAGCAGAAAAATTGTCCTCTCTTTCCTCTTCAGTACCTGTTAAATAAATGTGAATGAATCTGCACGAAAGTATGTTACATTGTTCAAATTGCGATATAGAATTTTTACACTAGCGCGCATTTCCTATCGATATCGTAATAGACGCAATGACGCAGAATAGGCGTTCACATGGGCAGACGCGGCCCGAAAACAGCTGATTTTAGCTTTGACGAAAGCAATCCAAATTTTGTAAATCAAACAATGCTGATGCTTCTCTTTTATCTGCGGTGTACTTATTTGCAAGTTTGTGCCTGTAGATATGCGAGTTTCTTCCTGCATTTTCATACGTAGTTATTGTTCAACAAAAAAATATAACAATTTAATATTACAAAAATAAAAAATTTCTTATCCGACAGGTACTTTTGTGTCTCCTTAAATGGCACTAATGCCACAACCACAAGGAACAGTTCCTAGACCCATCCTAAATAATGCTTACATGAACTCTCGTTCTCGGTTTTCACTGGGTTACGCTGATCCCTATGTTCGCTGATGACACGTTCACTATTCCGCTCTGGTTCTGCTAATGTAATCCAAAATAACCTTCAACACTCTCTCAAGGCTCCCTCTTTTTCACAAAAAGCGCAGTCTATCGTCTCTGCCTAATTGCGATCTAGAAATTGAGAATAATCTAAAGATCAATCTAGATATAAAGCTTATTTTCAGTGAACATATAAGTACAACCGTCGATACAAAAAACAAGACCATTGGGATACTAAATCCGTCAATAAATCTTTATTCTAAATATTCTCTAAAGATTAAAGATGATTTTCAATCTTAGTTAATATTCTTCAACCCGAATGTATCACGAAAAAGCTAATAGTAAGCCGATTGCTGACCGGACGATCATAGCACGAAAAAAAATAAATTCGAAATTTGATTCCTGGATGTACTACCTAGTTGTCCTAAAGCTCTGGACCTCTAATTAGTAAGTTAGTAATAACTGTAGGATTAAGCCTCTCCCCTTGCTTAACCTGCTCATAATCTCTTGGCAATAGAGCAAAAACACGTTGAATTTGAATTAATTGATACGGAAAGAACATTCAGTTTACTTATTGCTGTTATTATCTGACATACTCGTACAACTTAACTTAACTTCAACTTAAGATAGTCTTGGAGGTCTCTTATAGGTCTTTGGTAATGTTTTCGAACAAGCGGCGACTCCACCAGGATTCCAGATCGAAGGGCTTAAAGTCTTCCAAGTCTGGGCTAGGGGGCTCTATCCAAACAGTCGCCAATGAAGAGGTGGCAGCCAGTGTATTGGCCAATGTGCTTTCCTCAGAACCAATTGCCTGGTCGGCTGTTGTGGTCGCATCAGTGGGATTTGGTCCCACTAACATGTTCCATGAGTCATTTATATAGTTTACGAGTTCCTCATTCTGCGATGATATCACTCCATTCTCGTTTTTCTTGCTTGGTTTAGTACGTTTCGAGATACGCTTTTTAAATACTGGACGTGGGATATTGTTGTGCTCCGTGGTCGTATTTAGATCGATACTCCCGTTCTTCTTGCTGCTCTCCTTGATCCCGTCGAATTTATCGAGACTATGAGCCAGACCGCCACGCGTTTTAGCAGCGATCTTGCTGGGTGCCGTATTAATTTTGTACATGATTTGGTGTTATCAAGCTACGATCGGTAGATAGATAGATATATGTTTTTCTGGTAATTTTTTTCTATAGTGAAGCTAGTAATTTTGGAAATGCTGAGTTTTCTCCATATAGTCACAACTTGTCAATGCTCTTGTCATTGTTTCCAAAAACTGAAAAGAGTGAACCAAGTTTTAAGGGGGTGCCACAAACCAAATTCCAACTGAACTGGAATAGCCATCTATGACTAACTGGCTTGCCAATGTAACCCGGTTAGGGACCAAATCAGTTTAATAACTGGATAAATATAACAAAAGCCAGCAGTGGTACTTATAATCCTCCCAATTTAAAAGAATTTTTGCAATTGAGTGTGTCTTTTCATAAGAAAAACCAGTACGTTTTTTGAACATTAATGTCTTCTTTCGAATCAGATCATAATAACATAAATGTATTGGCATTTTTATATTGATCTCGAAATTTGTCAGTGTTTCCTTAAGAGCTGTTACTCTAGAGCTGTTATGGACTATCCAAATAGACACTCTTTCCTTTACATCAAATATCCTGACATTTATTAGCGAAATCATAATTATAGCACTTGCATTAGCCAAATAAGCTAGTTTTAAACGATTTAAATATGTAAGGCTTACTATATGAACACCTTCTTCTAATTTGAAAACGTTCAACAACATATGTACATACATATATGTAGTATATTCTTGAAACTTGCGCTGGACGGCTCATAGGTTCGTATACTAACACACAAATTGAAATAAGCTGGCATGAGAAGAGATTTAAGTAGGTTCTGACTTTATTGTTGCACTTTACTCTAAGTTTTGATTCTAATAAAACAGAAACGAAACACCCTGAAACTTGAATACCAGTTCGAAATTTGTGGTCAATTTAAATTCATTTAATTATATCCGGGGATGCTATGTCTATAAACGGGGTGAGTGTTACGTATGAGCATGAACCCTTCCTTTGTATCTTTGCATCGATTGATTCACTTGACGGCTCTCCCATCTATACTTAGCTTTAAGTCTTAATTTTAAGTCTTTAGTATACAAAAGTTAGATCTGCTGTTGATTTCAAAATGGCGGTCGGGAGTACAATGTCTGAATGTACAACTATGGAATCTAAGCAGTCAATGATTAAAACCAGAAAGCGAAGAGAGGTAAAAATGGAGAGGACTTTGACAATAGCCAGTCTTTGTGCGGCAATATTTCTGATTGTGCTGGTCACAAGGGCTGTTGAGAGTTCCGCCAGTCCAAGCTCACGAGATGATCCCCCTTTCTCGTATTGGCGCAAAGGATATTCCGGACACGGCACAGATCACGAGAATGTGGGCGCAATTCACTTCACCCCAGTTGAATACACAAAGTTCAAGCCACTGTCGAATTACTCCCAGAGAGAGAATGTCTCACATATGTGGGTGGATGTTGTTTTCAAAATTTCGCGAACCTTTTTTGACAAAATGTTTCCCCTTGATCCGACCATACCAAGAGGTAAGTGTGTCCCGACGACCGCCTCTGATTTGATGAGTTAGGGCTAATATTGAACGTCATCAAATATGTGATCCAGGATACATAGCGGACGTGGGTAAGGACAACATGAGGTTGGGACCGAAAGTTGTGCAGGACGATTGGGCGCTTTGGTTGAACGCATTCTGGCTTATGTGGCTATGGGTACTTTTACTGGTTGCTGTCATTGTCCTGGCACCCTTTGCAGGGTGAGTACAAAAAGCTGTCTTCAGGAACCCAGGAACCCAGGAACCATCAAATCTTTATTCATCAATGCTTTATTTCAGTGTCATATATTTCTGCTTCTGCTGCCATCGTTGTAAGCTGGGATGTCCAGCTTGCCAAACGGGTGTAACAAGGAGACGTATTTGTTTGAGCTTCTGCATGCTTCTGATCCTTCCATTTATCGCGTAGGTTACGGGTCTAATTTCTCCCGAATGCGAATGCATTCTTCCATTCTTTGGCCCTTCTATTCCTTTCTTTCCTTCTTTGTTCACAGTGGTAGTATGGGCTTGGCTTTTCTCTCAAATGGTATGCTAGAACGCGGCCTAGTCAACACTAAAATTGCCGTTGAAATGGGTAGCGTGGATACTTGCAACTTCCTGAAGGATGTCAGCGATCATATTCATCATTTATTTGTGAAAAACTATGAGGAGATGGAAACTCATCTGATCACTACTATCGTGGGTATGGCATATTTCAATTGACCTCTTCTCTTCTCTCTTCTCTCTATTCTTATATTTTCATTATACCTCCCCCACCACAGAGGCCCCAAAACATTTGTTCAAGGACTTGAACGAAGTCGCGGACGGTAATGCCGTCGCACGGATACGTTGGATTTTTCGCAATCTTCCAAATGCAGCAAACCAATTGGAAATGACCCGATACTTGCAAACAAGCATAAAGTGGGTATCCAATAAGCTAAGAAATGGTAAAAAATAAGTTTTATTTTGGTTATGTTCACTACTACTTAATGCATTTTGTTTTCAGCTCTCCGGGGAGTGAAGCGGGACATTAACGATGCGGCGATAGTGCTTTGTGGCAGTACGGATTGCCTCAAATTTCTGCACACTAACGAAGTTGAGTTTATGGACGCATCCAGATGCCTCCACTTGGATGAGGTGAATACATACCAATGCCAACTTCACAGCATCTTTGTAAATACTCTCTATCTATGTTAGTTGCCTCTTCCGCCGAAAATGCAAAAACAGTTGAATGATCTAGAGACATCCTTGGTCAAGCCAGTATGGGAGTTGCCGATCGCTAGACTCAGAAATATCAGTAGAAAGATTAAAGACGAGATGGCACGAGTCTCACCACCGATAATTCGAGACATACGCAAGGGAAGGAAGCTGTTTGCCAAAGAGGGGAGGAGAATAGAAGAAATAATTGACGTGGTCATCAGCGACATTCATCTTAGCACCATGCGGGCGAGCAGGGCGTTCGAGGATCTTTACGACAAATTTAATGAAACACGTCAGTACGTCGTTCAGTATATTGCTGTAAGCCTCCTTGGGGTGAGTACCTAAATCAATGGTGAATGGTCAATCTGCACATGGCTCCTCTAATCTGATCTAATCTAATCTAATCTGATCTCGAAACTCCTTGTTAGATTCTGTCGATCGTGATTTTGGCTTTGATTGTTGGCTGTCTAGCACCACGTCCCACCGGAGCGAGCAATGAATACTTCACCAAAAGGATCGCAGCGTACATGATGATACTGTGAGTGCTCTGAAACTATAAACTACCTAAACTACCTACCATAACTAAGAACACATTCTCCTGGCAGAGCCATGATTTTGATATTTTGTGCGCTATCCGTCATGCTGATAGTGGTGCTGTTTTATTTTGTGATTGGTGGTGTGGCTTACAAAGGCGCATGCGCACCACTCAGGGAAATGAAGTCTAGTGCGCTTCTCAAACAGCTAGACTCAGAGATCGATCTCCGGACGATGTTTTCTTCCCGCAAACAGGATTTACCAGCTAATAAATCAAGCAAGCCAGTCAGAGTATCGAGTGTTATCAAGGCGTGCCAGGGCGAAATGTATTTGTTTACATACCTGCGAGAAAATAGAATCTTTGACATAGAAGATTTTCTTCGAGTGAAATTATTATCCAAAGCAGTAAAGAGTAAGGAGAAAAGTCTAGATCTATCAAAGGAATTTATACTGACGCCGTTTGAACGAGACGTAATTTTAAAAAAAATGGATGATGTTGAAATGGGCTTGTATCACAGCGACTTGTGGTTCGATATAATTTGCGAAAATCTCAACTCATTAAATGTTGACCAGCTTATGGAGAACCTCCAATCTCTATCACAGTCGCTGTCGTGGAATAACTACCGAGCAGCCTCTGTCGCTTTCGAGAACGCGTATCTTAGTCTCAAGGCAATTAAGTCCGCCTACCATTATGGTCTTGATAGGGACTATAGGCTTATGACTAAATGTCTTAAATACATTGATTACGTAATTTTATACGAGAACTACAACTTTGGCGATACCCTTAAAATATTGAGAGAAAAAGTTGTGGCGGCCGAGGATTTTATACGTGACAAAGGAACGACATATCTTTCTACTCTTGGCGAAAACCTAACTGCAGTGGTTGAGGAACAGATCAAAGAATATATCAGAATGATAATCCGTGAAGCCGCCAGCAGCATCGGGTACTGCAAGCCTCTGACCTACATATACGATCGCGGCCTGGAATTGGTTTGCAATCGCATGGTTGACCCCATAGTAAGTAGTCCCCACATGATTTTGTCTTAGCTCGATTCAACGATTCGAGCGATTGTATTGTACATCTTTACAGAACGGCTATTGGATAGGTGTATTAACGGCGGCGTTCCTTCTGATGCCCGTGCTTTGTATAGCTCATCGTCTGCAGTGTCTGTACAAGCAACATAAGGTGCCTCCGATAAGGGCCATCAGAGCACGGCAGGTGCAACAACCTGAAGTAGAACAAGACCCTTGTCCCTTTTGCAGTGCAAATCCAAATAGGATTTCAGGTGGACTCAGTGCCTGCATTGGTCTGGACGGTGCAGAAACGACCATTTATGATGGCGACAACATGATTGCAGAAACAGGAAATATCAATGATGGAGACAAAAAAAATAAGTTAGATTAGTGATACAAAATGTAAAATAAGTCCGAGATATCTTACAGAGAAGAGTGTAAACAAACAGCTAGTGCGAGTTTAATCTTGAATCTATCTTATGTTCTACCGCTAAATCTGGCTATTTATATCGCATTCCCACACCTTTCGCTCTTGTTCTGCTATATGTACGTCTTATATACTATTCGCCATAATAAATCAATATTAAACCGAACAATTATCGACTTTAATATAATTATATATGTAGGTATGTATATCGCAAACCATGCTGCTGAAGAACCTCAGTAGCTCAAACCAATCTATCGGAGAAAGTTCATCCATGTGGTTGCTGATGGGTGCTATAATATTTTAAAGATCAGCGTATTAAAACATTTAATTGCTATACACGAGCATACTTTTATTACTGCACTCTTTCTTCATAACTACTGCACAAAACCAAAACAAATGAAATTACTCGGATTGCTTATCCAGAAAAAAATTCAAATTTAAGCTTGGGTAGTTTCTTACTTCGACTTTACTCTAACGTTATTCATATGTACTTTAATTAATCGCAACTTGTATATGGGTGTTCTCTTCACAGCTTTTTTCACAAAAAAAATGAGGGGGAACGTTGTGAGTTGCTGCGGCGACCGCAACTCTACATTTATACGCGATACATACTAGTCAGTATGGCTCTCCTCCACCAGACGGCGCTAACATTGCACGACACGACAAAGAATGCGTGCGAGAGAGACAGAAAATCCAGATTCGGCAATCTGATAGATATGGTCATTTTCTATGACTATGAGTTTTGAATTTTTAATTGTTGCCAGAGAATTTCGTTCTTTGCGGATTGGAAAGGGGGTGGGGCGAAATTTTGAAATTCGTATTGTACGACCGAGGCCAATGCAACTGGGGCATTCCGCTATAACGTACAGCACTTGATACGGTCATATGATAGGTTAATACGAACGGCTAAACCTGTAAATAGGCTTAAATCGAACTATATTTTTCTGTGGCAGGCTTTTGGGATATAATTGAAAGTGCCCAAAGGGTTCGGCCTTTGATAAATTGGAGTTAGACTCGATCATCGGATCTGGTAATAGATTCTTGAGCTTAACACGTGGCACTTGGTATTTTCACTGCAATGAATTTTTACAGAAGTCCGTCTGTGATCAGGAGAAAAAAAGAAAAGAAAGACCTGCGCCATTCTCCATTCTCCATCCGCTTGAGCTCTTGTTTTGCTCATATCATCTTCACCACGCATTGACTCTCGCTCTGTTAAGCAAATTTCATTGTGACACCAGCCTAATTTCTTTCAAAGTGCAACGTGGTTTTGAAGAGAGAGTTAAACCGTGGGGCGGGTGAACTAACATAGCTATTTTTCCAACATCTAACATCTCTTATCCGAATTCTCCTAAATTAGACATTAAATTATATTGCCCCGCTTATACGCTCTCAATGCATAGACGCAGACACACATGTTCTTACTGCTAACATTGCATTATTTCGCTCATTTCTTAGTCAGTAAAAATATTCACCGAAGCAACATGAGTTTCGTTTACTTAAAATTTCTAAAGTATGAAACTCAAGAATCGAACAAATCCAATCGTTGTAAATTAAACTATCAAGCAACTGTTCATTGAATAAGCATCAATCTACGTCTAGCTACAGTGCCGTAAGTTTTAAAACAGAAACCTTGCAGATAATTATGTATATCAGCGATATGGTTTAGTGATCCGATCTTGTTTCCTCCAATTTATATTCTATGTGCAGCAAACAAAACGGTATGTGAGATTTGAGTAGTTTCTGACTTTACTGTTGCACTAAGTTTTGAGTCAAATAAAACGGAAACGATTGAAGCTTCAATACTAGTTCGAAATTTGTGGTAAATTAAATTAATTCAAATTAATTACATCGGAGGATGCTATGTCTATAAGTGGGGTGAGTGTCACGTATGAGCATGAACCATTTCTCTGTGCATCGATTAAGTCATTTGGTGGTTCCCCCATCTATATTTAGCATGAAGTTTTCGTTTAGTCTAAGTTTGAATGCAAGAAAGAAATTTGTGTTCGGGTGTATTTAAAGAACAGAAACCTGGAGACAATGGCTGAATGCACAATTATGGAATCTCAGCAGTCAGTGATTAAAAAAGTGAAAAAGCAAAGAGAGGTAAAAATGCAGAGGACTTTGACAATAGCCAGTCTGTGTGCGGCAATATTTCTGATTGTGCTGGTCACAAGGGCTATTGAGAGTTCCGCCAGTCCAAGCTCACGAGATGATCCCCCTTCTCTATATTGGCGGAAAGGATATTCCGGACACGGCACCACACACGAGCAGGTGGGCGCAATTCACTTCGGCGAAGCTCAATTCTCAAAGTACAAGCCACTGTCGAATTACTCCCAGAAAGAGAATGTCTCAAATATGTGGGTGGATGTTGTTTTCAAAATTTCGCGAACCTTTTTTGACAAAATGTTTCCCCTTGATCCGACCGTACCAAGAGGTAAGTGTGTCCCGATGGCTGTCTCTGACTTGATGAGTTAGGGCTAATATTGAACGTCATCAAATATGTGATCCAGGCTACATAAAGGACCTGGGTAAGGATAACATGAGGTTGGGACCGAAAGCTATAAAGGACGATTGGGCAGATTGGTTGAATGCATTCTGGCTTATGTGGCTATGGGTACTTTTACTGGTTGCTCTCATTATTCTGGTACCCTTTGCAGGGTGAGTACAAAATGCTGTACTTCTTCACAAAACTATCAATGACATGCTAGTCTTTTTTGCATGGAACAGTGTCGTGTATTTCTGCTTATGTTGCCATCGCTGTAAGCTGGGCTGTCCAGCTTGCCAATCGGATGTCAATAGGAGACGTATTCTTTGGAGCATCTGCTTGCTTCTGATCCTTCCATTTATCGCGTAGGTTATGGCTCGTTGTTTTCCGAATGCAAATACATTCTTTCTATTCCTTTCTTTCTCTCTTTGTTCACAGTGGCAGTATGGGCTTGGCTTTTCTTTCAAACGGCATGCTAGAACGCGGCCTGGCCAACACTAAGATTGCCTTTGAAATGGGTAGCGTGGATACTTGCAACTTCCTGAAGGATGTCAGCGATCATATTCGTCATTTGCTTGTGAAAAACTATCAGGAACTGGAGACACATCTGGTCACTACTATCGTGGGTATGATATATGTATTTCAATTGACCTCTTCTCTATCATTACATTCTCATTATACCTAACCCACCACAGAGGCACCTAAACATTTGTTCAAGGACTTGAACGATGTCGCGGAAGGTAATGCCGTGGCGGAACTAAACAGGATTATTGGCAACATTGTTCCGGCAATCCAAAATTTAAAATTGGCCAAGCAAGCTCAAGCAGACACAAAAGAAGTGTCACTTAGACTAAGAAATGGTAAGATACATATTATATTTATACCAGGTACCCAAACTCGTGAATCTCGTGAGGATTTATGAAGCATGCAGATGGAAGCATTTTCGACCCTATTGATCATCATCAATAGCCGAGTTGTATAGGGCTCATACATATAGGGCTCATGTGAGTACATGGAACCAAAGTCATTAGATGAAACGAGGGAGCGTTGCTAGAAAGAACAAAGTAGAAAAGGTGCCGAAAAGAATCGAATTGATCAGCAATATCGCTATTGTTATCAGCATTAATACCATTGAAGTTTAAAGATGAGGAAAATTTTGAAATGACTACGTTTAGGAGAGCCAATTTAAGCTTAGGTTAGCAAAGTAATTCTTATAGCATGTAGTATTAAATGAACAAAATTCAAACTTTGCAATTGAATACTGAAAAAAATCCGATTGCGAATCGGAGGGACCCAAATAGGGCCCCTTAGATTTCTCAAAAATGGAGCAACTGATACTATAGAATGCATTAGTAGCAGGCTCAATTTCCTGAAAGTAGCAAATCGAGATTTAAGGAAAGAACATCCGCTTCCTTGAAGCAAAAGATAGCCGAGGGCTTTACGAAAGATTCGACGGAACCGAAGAAAGGCAGCTGAACAACAATTTCAAGTGGGGGATGGTAGGGGTCTTCAAGGTCAGATGACGATGTATCGCTAGCAAAAATGATGTCTAAGAGCCTACACATAGTATTATTGCAAATAGGGTTTACCTGACACAACGATGTTTCAGGCAAAGAGTCGAAGATAACATCAGGGAAGAGTCTTCAGAAGGAGACCAAGAAATAATCGGTAGGTTAAAATCCTCTAGGACAATTAGACGATACGAACCAATGAATTGAAACGAAAAAGACTGAAGATGGGCAGCGTGAAGCGTATAAGTAGAAAGAATAGCCAGAATGAGTAAGGCTGACTCCCTTGCCACGAGCTCTCTTTCTCCCCCAGTGTCTAGCGTAACGACCAGATGGTAATTGGTTGGTGGAAATAGAGAGAGATATAGAGATGTAACAGCTGGATACAGCTGGAATATTTGTCAGTAGGAAAGATGATAGTCAGACTAGACAGAGTGCAAGAGTTAGAGCAGTACAGCTAGTCACTAGCCAGTCACTTGTTCTCGTTATGTTCACTACCACTGCATTTTTTCCAGCTCTCCGGGGAGTGAAGCGCGACGTTAACCATGCGGCGGTGGTGCTCTGTGGCAGTTTTGATTGCATGAAGTTTCTGCAGACCTCAGGAATTGAGTATATGGACACATCCAGATGCCTTCACTTGGATGAGGTGAATACATACCAATACCAATATCTCAGAATCTTTGTAATTACTCTCTATCTAGGTACCGGAGTCGGACAGAATGATCGTTGATTTAAATAATATGTATAAAGATATAAAAGGCAGACCAGGAAGATGGATAGCTCGTCTCCGTGGTGTTAGTAAAAAGATTAAGGACGAGATGGCACGAGTCTCACCACCGATAATTCGAGACATACGCAAGGGAGGGGTGCTTTTTACCAAAGAGGCGGCGAGAATAGAAGAAATAATTGACGTGGTCATGAGCGACATTCATCTTGGCACTATTCGGGCGAGCAGGGCGTTCGAGGATCTTTACGACAAATTTAATGAAACACGTCAGTACGTCGTTCAGTATATTGCTGTAAGCCTCCTTGGGGTGAGTACCTAAATCAATGGTGAATGGTCAATCTGCACATGGCTCCTCTAATCTGATCTAATCTAATCTAATCTAATCTCGAAACTCCTTGTTAGATTCTGTCGATCTTGGTTTTGTCTTTGATTGTTGGCTGTCTAGCACCACGTCCCACCGGAGCGAGCAATGAATACTTCACCAAAAGGATCGCAGCGTACATGATGATACTGTGAGTGCTCTGAAACTATAAACTACCTAAACTACCTACCATAACTAAGAACACGTTCTCCTGGCAGAGCCATGATTTTGATATTTTGTGCGCTATCCGTTATGCTGAGTGTGGTGCTGTTTTATTTTGTGATTGGTGGTGTGGCTTACAAAGGCGCATGCGCACCACTCAGGGAAATGAAGTCTAGTGCGCTTCTCAAACAGCTAGACTCGGAGATCGATCTCCGGACGATGTTTTCTTTCCGTAATATGGATGTACCAGCTGTCAATGTTTCAACCGACCCAATAAGGGTATCGAGTGTTATCAAGGCGTGCCAGGGCAACGACTATTTGTTTAATTATCTGGATGAGAATAGAATCTTTGACATAGACGATTTTCTTCGTGTGAGAATAGTGACTCCAGTAGAAAGGAAACAAGATACAAATTTAGATCTTTCAAAAGAGTTTATACTGACGGAGGAGGACCGAAATGTCTTCTTAAACAGAATGGAAAATACCGAGGGCGGCTTGTTTCACAGCGACTTGTGGTTGGACTTAATTTGCGAAGACCTCAGCATATTAAATTTGGACCATATGGGACAGAGCATCAGAGCTTTAGGACGTTCGCTGTCATGGAATAACTATCCTGCTGCCTCTGTCGCTTTCGAGAACGCGTATGTTAGTCTAGTGTCAGTTAAAGCCAACTTTTATTACGGTCTAGAAAAGAATTTTCGCTTAATGGCTAAACATGTGAAAATAATAGATGAAGCTATTTTATACGAGAATTACAACTTGGCCGATTCCATTAAAATATTAAAAGAAAAAGTTGTGGCGGCCGAGAAATTTATACGAGATCAAGGAACGTCATATATTACTTCTCTTGGCCAAAACCTAACTGCAGTGGTTGAGGACCAGATCAAGAACTATATCAGAATGATAGTCCGTGAAGCGCAGACAAAGATCGGGTACTGCAAGCCTCTGACCTACATATACGATCGTGGCCTGGAATTGGTTTGCAATCGCATGGTTGACCCCATAGTAAGTAGTCCCCACATGATTTTGTCTTAGCTCGATTCAACGAACGATTGTATTGTACATCTTTACAGAACGGCTATTGGATGGGTGTAGTAATGGCAGCGTTCCTCCTGATGCCCGTGCTGTGTATATCTCATCGTCTGCAGTGTCTGTACAAGCAACATAAGGTGGTTTCGATAAGGGCCATCAGGGCACCGACTCACACTTGTCCCTTTTGCAATGGAGATTTAAGTAGGACGTCAGGTGGACACATTGTCGTCATTGGTCCTGACAGTGCAGAAACAAAGAGTTTTCATGTCGAGAACACGATTGAAGAAATAGTAAATATCAACGATGGAGACGGAAAGAATAAGTTAGATTAGTGATAAACAAACAGCTAGTGCGACCAATTTAAAGTGGTTTTTGCTGGGGAGTATACCCCAGGCAGCCAAATTGCACTTCGCCTCTAAGAGATGGGATGGTGATTCAGTCCTACTTGGGGTGGGATGGGCTACGTCTGGGCTGCTCACTCGTGCCTCTACCAGGAGTTTCCTCAAGGGGCCTTGTGCTCCTACCGCATAGCACATAACCATTGATAGTGGCCGCTCTCTGGGGGCTTCGGTAAAGTATGCACTACAAAATACGTATCGTAATTCGGGGATATGGTCCTATAGGAACACTTATAAGTTAACCATGATCAAAAAAAATAGTTGCCACAAAGAGCAGGCTTTCAAGCTGCGATTACTTAAAAAAAAAAACCCGCGAAATATGATCAATTTTGAATTGAAAGTCTAATATTTTCCAGACGGTAAGCTATAACTACAAAGCTGCATTTATCAGCTTTGTAGAATTGCAAAGTTCGATAAAACCCGATGTACGATACGTGAGTTACGTGAAAAAAGTAGCACCTATGAAATAAACATTAAAAAAATGTCAGTGAAACCCGAAATATAAGTGACATTTTGTTTCCAAGTGTTATTTTAGAGCTGAATTTGTGGTTGGCCAAAACAAAAATTATTTATATGGAAGGCACAAGCTAAATCGCCCTGGAAATGGTGTCAAATTCATGTTAATTTGTTCCTCTTGCGATTAAGACTCGGTTCGCTGCCGTTTTTAAAACGGAAAAATCATGCGTTTTGTGTTTAACAAGTAAGTCGGACAATTTTTGAAAACGAGAGAGCGGCTCTTAAGCGCTTTCTCTCTCTGGCAGGCAGAAGAAATCGAGTACAAAAAGATTACTATTACTTACTGTTTATATTGTGTTTGCACAAACGAATCCCACAACATCACGAAACTGTCAGTCATACACTCCTGAAATCTGCAATCTATGTCTATTCAAATAAAACAAAAAATCTTCAAAAATCCCCAATACCTGAGCAATAATTCCACAGAAAACATACAGCCAATAACAGAATATCTATAATAAACGAATATATGTGCGTATATCACTTGCATCTTAAAATGGCGCCATTTTGAAAGAAACTTGTAACAGTGAAATCTAACAGGAGTTTGGATACAAAATTTGGTTGGTCTGTGATCTGTGGATTTCATAGATTTTCGTCCTTTACGGTGCCCTTACACACATCCACTTTGATCACAAATCTAATATACCCCTATACTCATTTTGAAAATCGGGTATAAAAATTGTATTTGTGATCTGGTATTTTTTGTTAATATTAGTGGTGACAGTTTTACTGATAGGCAGAAGGCTGCAAATATATACTGCAAAAATAGTCCAATATTCCGTAGACACTTTTCCTATGTAAAAAAAAAACGCTTCACTGACGCGTGCCAGGGTCTAGTAACTGCACAACCCACTAGGGATTATCACATACATATAAGGGATATGCAAAATAACAGTTCTTCAAAGAATGTCATAATACTCTAAAAAAATCCATAGTAAAGGGTATGTGAGCACATATAACTCTGGGAGCTCTGGGAGCTGTCGCTGAAAATTCAACATTCAGCAAAACTAAAAATATCGATGTAATACGATTTATAAAAATAAATAGTATTTTTCATATCGATATATCGATATAATATTTGAGCCTTGCTTCGAAAACCTGTTATGGTCAAGTCGTTTTATTTTCTTTTTTCTTCTGGCACAAATTTTTCGACCGCGGCGACATCAACTAGTGACTAGGTGTCGAATTTTACTCCGAATTTTCCCAACTGTTCACGGAGCGGTTGCTGCGCGCGTCGTCTAATAAAATACCTAATACTAAAATAAAAATAAAATAATTTGAACTCGGAGGAAGGCGGTTGCTCGATGCTCTGTACATAATACATATGTATATGATTGTTGTGTATGTGTACCACTCTTGACTCTTCCCTCCATCTTTGGTGCCCGTAGTGTTAAAGATATGTTGCATACAAAATAAGTTTAAAAAGGTTTTAAAGAGGTGTAAGCAACTGCTCTTTTGTTTATTGATTTTCCCACCGCGCTGCTTTTACTCGTATAACAAAAAAAAAGAGTTTTTCTTTGAATTTGTGAACCGTTACCTTGGTGTCGTTGCATAATTTGGTTGCTGGTTGCTGCTGCGTCTGCAGAATCCCGGGGTCGCGGTGCGGTCGTTATTCTCCCCAATAGTATGACTTTCCAAGAATAATAAACAGAAAAGACATAAACGTGCCAAACGCTTGGAAAAGGTGACGCAGCAGCATCAGAGGAAAGCCATGCATATGAGTCAATGGAATCGGAATGTACATAATAATTAAGCACAACGAAGGCAGAAAAAATAATACACAATAAGCGCAGCTTTGCTTCTGCTATAGTTTTCTGATTCTTCGATCGGTGGGTGGTCCGTTTGTACTGGGATGGGTACTATACTGTGACATAACGGTATTATTGTGGCAAACAGAAAGGCCAACCTTCGAAGCCCCAGGCAAGCAAAAAGAGAGTGCAAGGGGAAGAAGGACAGGAAGCAGTGCCGTTTTTGTTTCGCTGTTATTTCTTGTTCTCTTCTCCCTACTGCGCTGCTGCGACACGAGCTTCTGCTTGCGTTGCTGTTAATGTTTGAATACCCTTCCATACCACACGATATACAGATGTACTTATTAGGTAGTCCCTCAGCTTGAACGCAGTAAATAACCAAAAATGTATATCTAAATCATACAGCTGGAAAACGAAAGTTCTATGTATAATCCAGTATTTAATATACATCTGTATATGTATGTGCATAAATACATATGTACATACATATATGACAATCAATAGCCTATAAGGTGATGTGCTTCTTTTGATTAAAATCGCTCACAAGGGTATTCAATGTTAGACTTGCTTAATGGTTGCTCTGTTAATGGTGGCCCAATATTTTTTGGGACATTTTCTCCGCCAGCGTGTAGGTTGAGGGGAGGATGGGATGGAAATCTTTTGGGTGCAGTGGGACGGCCGGGGCGCTTGGTATTTGCTGAGCGTGCTTTATTTATGTGTCTTTGTGTTTAAATTGCAGATCTTAAACGTAGAACAGCCGCATACAGATACACACACGGACTAATACTCATATATTAACATATACTGCCACCACCCTCGTTGTCGTTGTCGTTGTCGTTGCCGTCGTTGTTTTTGCTGCTGCCTTCGTCGCTGCAGCACAGCCAAGTTAGAGAACAAGTGCGCCGCAGCCCTCCGCGCGTATTTTTAATTGCTTTAACATGACGTCGTCTGGACTCAGAGCGGCGGCAGCGCTGCTGCTGCTCTGCGCCGCCACGTTTGCAGCTGCCGCAGAGCTGTCGGACAAATTGCGCGATGATTCGGAGCTTTCTCAGGTGAGTCGGAGTTGGAAAAACAACAGTTCGCAAACAGTTATGTTACACTTACAGTAAAACGTATGTATGTATGTACGTGCTTTTCGAAACACTTGTAGGTGAGTAGCAGGTTGGTTCCACTGTCCCCTATTCATCATCCCCGCCCTCCAGACTAGACCAAACCAGACCAGACCCTTATGCTACTCATGGTTACTCATTCTTGGACACACAACAATTGACACTTTTCGGCCATCGTATGCCTAGCGGCTGCCCTTGAACGGAAAAACCTTGACAGACACCGAGCGAGAGAAGGAGAGAGATATGAGTAGTGCGAGAGCCCGAGAGCGAGAGCGGGCGAGCAGGTCGCTATTTGAAAAAGAGCCTGCGCACGAGAGAGACGGCACCACAGCCACCAGCACAGGTAGAAGCAGCAGCCACAGCCACAGCCTCAGAATTCCATTCCTAATCACGTCCTTGACCTTTTCCATTTTCACTTGTTGTTGGACTGCTGCTGCTGCTGTGGAAAATCGATGCCCGCAGCAAAAAGAACTTCTGGCGATTCGTCCAAAGTCCATTCCCATTCCCAGCCACAGGCACAGCTCCATTTGGTCATATTTGGTATGCATGGCGGAGCCTTCTATTATGTAAACGAGTAAAACTACATAAATTAAGGTAAAACCAACCAAGTCAGACCGACTGACGGACAATTGCCCGGCCGTTGACGTCGACTGAGCATAACAGTTTTATATTTAGTTTGCCTTTTTACACCTTCACACGCCAACACACACGCACACTGAAACACAGAGAAAACGCATTAAAAAAATGTAAAAACCCAGAAGCCAACAAACAGAACAGTGGCGGTGTGGCTCCCCCATGTAGGGTCAGCAGAGGCGAGCATCGGTGACAAGATCTATAGCAGGAAACTCCCTGGCTATGCCCTTGAAAGAGATGTTCTACTCTGCTAAGCATTTAATGGCCGAAAATACTTGTTAGCCGAGAAGAAAAGCATCTTCCAACTGAAAAGAAAGCGTGCAACGGAAAGAGAGGGACATGCCAGAGGGACTGGCAATGTACGAGTAAGTGTTGTTGCAAGTGTCTCCTCTGTGCCTAGGTGTCTGGGAAGCACCCACCCCCCTCCCTGGCCACGATTCAAGACGCTAGAGACGAAACAGAGCGTACCCATGGCTTGCTCATTATGCTGGCCATTCTCATTACATGCTGATGGCTTAGATAAATATATATGTATGTAGGTTGGTTTTCTTCTTTCTTCTTTCTGCTTTCGGCTTGTGCTTGTGCTTGTGGTTTTGCTTGGGAGATCACAGGGCTGGGCATCGTTCAAAAGCCCCAAACCGATCCTGAAACAGAACAGACTTACATAAACGCGTTCGTTTGAGTGAAATTTCCAATGAAATTAATTTACATACAGATGAGTAAGTGCATCTGTGCGGGCGGGGTGACCTCCTGCATTGACCCCACACTTCCTGTCGTGCGTGCATCATGATCATGATCATCGTCGTCATCGTCATCGTCTTCGTTTTATTAATATTAATTTTTAACCTTTGACTGATGCACTGCAACGGGAATTGCACTGGACACGAGCATGGTCGAGTGGGGGAGGCAGAAATGGGTTGACAACTGCCGCCGGCTGAACCCTGTCTAGGCGGAGGGGCACACAGAGCCAGCCAGCCGGGTGCAAGCAGCATCGGGGGGATTCAATTAAATTTAATTTAAGATTACAATGCGATGCCAAAGCGCGAGTGAGGCCACCGCCGCCGACGCCGACGGTCGCGTACCACTAGACGATATACGATATGCGATATGCCGTGCTCCATTACATCTGAGGCGATGAATGAGAGCCACGGCTGACCTTAATGGATCCAAAGTAGAGGAGAACACATGCTCGGCGGCGACGGATTCATTTGAGTGATCCGTGAACGGCCTCGGGAGTGATGCCTTATCCCAGCCCCCTACCCCCTCCCACAGCGATTCCAATTAAAAGAGAAATGTGCTTCGGCTTCGACTCGGGGGTTGAGACTGCTTTCGCTTGTGGCTTGTGGCTTGTGGCTTGTGGGTTCCTGCAATTATCCCAAAAACTTAACCATACAAACCACAGACATATGTATGCATCTATAATTTGTACCAATTAAATTTATTTATACAACATGCACTGCCCGGATTTCTGTCTCTGTTCAGCAGAAAGACTTTCGTTCTCTCGCTCGCTCGCTCTCTCTCTTTCTGTTGCTCATTAATTTTTATAGCTCTATTAGATGAAAAACAAAAATTGAATTTCCTCAAGTGCCACGCCCCCACTACACTACTACATGCTCCCCCTCGCCACTTCCTCTGTTGTTTGTAGTAGTTTTTTTGGATTAGGAACAATTTAGTACATTTTTTGGCTAAAAGTGAAAGACAACAACAACAAGTTTGAACTGCCAGCGGTTCTCTCTCTCTCTCTTCTTCTTCTCTCTCTATCTTTCAGAGCACTGCCAAATCCTTCAGGCGCCTTATGCCAGTTAGGGTAAGCTGCAATACCAAAAAAAAAAAAAGAACTTAAAAAAAACAAAAACAAAAAAGAACTTACAAAAAACACCATTCAACTTTCAAAACAAACAACGCCGCAACATCTACAAAACATTTACAAAAACAGTCACATGTTCTTAATTTTTTGTTAATAAATATTCAGACGGGGCGGTGAGTGAGGGGAGTGGGCTGGGGCTGGGGCAGCCATTGGCCAAATTATTGTTTGCCCCGCCGTCTGGCTCTGGCTGTGACTCATGCCCTTGACTCTCTCCGAGAGAGAGATTGGGGGGTGCCCTCTCTGTCTCTCTGTCTGAGCCCTCCGGGGGTCATTGGCACTCGTGAAAATCAAAATGCGCTTTCCAAATCACCCCTTGCTTGGCCCGAAGGGGGGGCCAGTCCCCCCTGGGACCTTTTGAGGATGGTTAAGAAACAAGTTTCGCTTTTGCTCGTGCTTGCATAGTAAATGAGACGTCCTCCCAGACCTCTGGCTGCTTATCAATGACAGGATAATACCCTAACAATTGAAGCAAATTTCGGGCTTATGAAAATAGTCCCCCGGGGATATCGCAGGCTGCCATCTGGCGCGGCGGCCGACCGTAACCTTATCGCGATGGTGTGCCAAAAGGGCCGGAAACTCATCAAGATTAATGTTCCCTTCATCAAATGCAAAACATTCGAAAGGGAAAATTTATGAATGTAATTGCATCTAATTGTCAAATGCTTCTAGTATCTCCCCCGGGCCCGGGTGTAGTTCACTTTCGGGCAGTGGGATGTGATGCTGTGTGCTGACAGATGGGGAAATATAGTGTCCGCCCAGAGGAAGCGGCTGTTGAGTAAACAATGTCACTTCTATAATTTCCCTCGAATCACTTCCATCCGAAGAGAAATCGACATGATATCCCTCTCAATAGGTGTCCCATTTCAGGCGCTGACGTTGACATATGCCAGAGCCAATCCCTAATACCCTTACTGCACTTATCCAGCGGAGCACTCTCTGTATGTCCTTTAGATAAGAGAAAACATTTCGAAAGCGAAACAGAGACCTGGCCAGAACAAAGCCAGCGGCGACTCGAATGACCAGGACCAGGACAACGGCCCGCTCTATCGTGAACTGGTCCGGTCTCAAATTACCAGAAAATAACAAAATGTACGAGTATATTGTATGTGCGTGTGTTCTGTCGATGCCATGCCATAGATACGTGCACCGTGGAGAAAGGGAAAGGGAAAGGGAAAAGGAAAAGGGACTCTTGAAGGCAAATTGCCATGACTCATGCTGTGCCCAGGACCTGGACACAAACGCGAAAGTCACACGACCGAGCGAGCCGTTTTTAAAAGAGAGCACAGAAAAAGGTGTTGTCCTCGTCAGGACACGCACCCACACAGTCAACACACAGATGCACACGCACACCACAGAAATACATACATATGTATTTACTTGGTCCCATAAACCTGGCTGGGAATGTGCAGCGGGGCGTGGTGGGAGGTGGTGAGAGGTGGCTGGGAAGCCGCAAAGTGTGCGGTTGCATGTCGTTGCCGCTGGCCAGGCCGATGACGTTGCCGGGGCAGGTGGCCGGACTGGGTGCGGGCATGGCTTAGGGTCAGTGGCTGGTATTTGGGGTAGCTGCTAGCAGGAAAATGCATTTTCATGTCCCGCTCCTGACAGATAGCGGACTCTCAATGAAATGACACACACACACACAGTCCACTTAGCCCATGAACCAGTCGCCAGTCGACAGTCCACCCCCGGGTGTACAGCTATCCTGGCGGCCATTCTGCTGCTTACGTAATTGGTTCAATAAACCTTTTTTGCGTCTGGCCCAACCAGGCCATGCATAATGTTCCTTCTTTTATTAGTTTGTTTGACGTTGCCATAGAAATGGCCCGGCAGTCAGTCGCAGTCGCAGTCGCAGTTTTGCCAAAACTGCCTCCCCCCCAGCAACCGACTATCCACCACCCCCAATATCCACCCTACACACCCACACCCCACCCAGCAACCACCTCCTGCCACATTTGGTTCGATATACTCGTTATTCTATCAGTCATGGAGAGAGAAAGTGTAACGAAACGACCTCCGTTCCCCCTTCTCTTTGCAGTTCTACAGCCAAGTGGAGCAGAATCCCATTGCCAATGCAACGCTGACGCTGCGCAGCTGCACGATCTTCGTGCCCACCAATGAGGCCTTCCAGCGCTACAAAGGGAGCATCCATGTGCTCTATCACATTAGTAAGTGCGGATGATAAATCATGCAAAAGCGAATGCGAATGAGAGTACTTATTTTTATTACATGTATATTTATTTGCAGCTACTGCGGCTTTCAGCAAAGAACAACTGCCAAAATCTGTGTCATCCGACATGGACGGCAATCCGCCGCTGTACATCACAAAGAATCGCAATGGTGACATCTACGTGAACAATGCCCGGATCATTCCCTCGCTGAGCGTGGAGATGACCAATCGCGAGGGCAAGCGTCAGGTCAGTGCCAGACCCCTTTTGTCCGCTGTCGACCATGAATCGAATCGAATCCAATCCAATCCGTTACTCTTTCGCCTGCAGGTCATGCACATCATTGACGAGGTGCTGCAGCCACTGTCCGTTCAGAAGAACGCCAAGGACAACATCAACAATCCGGATGCGATGCAATTCCTGCAGATGGCCGAGCAGCTCGAGCTGAATGACTTCCACTTGCGCACCTATCGCTCCCAAGTGACGCTGGCGAAGAAGGAGTCCGTCTACCAGTCGCCCGGAGCTCACACTTTTCTCATTCCCATCGACGAGAGCTTCAAGGTGACGCGTCCGCCTTCGGTTTATTGCATTTTGTATCCAATTTAATATTGTTGTCGTATTGCAGCTCTCGGCACGGAGTGGCCTGGTAGATGCCAAGGTCATTGATGGCCATGTGATACCAAACACTGTCATCTTCACTGCCGCCTCGCAGCACGATGATCCCAAGACATCGGCTGCATTCGAGGATCTGCTCAAGGTTACCGTCAGCTTCTTCAAGCAAAAGGATGGCAAGAGTGAGAGCCCCAGCACACTTATCGATCGATCTCGCTAACGTTAATCCGTGCATTTTCTTCCTGTTGCAGTGTACGTAAAGTCCAATACCATTGTGGGCGACGCCAAGCATCGAGAGGGCGTGGTTCTGGCCGAAATTGTCAAGGCCAACATACCAGTGCAGAACGGAGTCGTCCATTTGATTCACCGCCCGCTGATGATCATCGATACGACCGTCACCGATTTCCTAAAGGTAGCACAAAAGCACACACAACCCCAGCTCTAGCCCAAACACTGCCAACACAACAACTAAGATACTAAGATACAAAACACAACACATAGACAGATAGTACATACAATCCCTGGTAGTGCCTGCGGCTTGCGATAAGGCTTGGCATTTTGATTGGCTCGCCTCGCTGGGGGCAGCAAAGATACCAAGATACCAATTACCAATTAAGTTGCTTGCCCAGCAGTTGCTTAACACATGAACATGCCCACAAACACACACACATACACATACACACACCAGCTAACACACATACCAAGCAATGCCTTCTACTTTGCATTTGGACGAGTGGCTGCCGCCCAAAACTCGCGCCAATGGAAGTCACTTCCAGCGGCCACAAATTCCACCCAGCGCTCTGCCGAATGCAAAGCCAAAACCAGATCGAACTGCACCCGAAACCCAGACTCACACATACAAAGAATAGATTAGTCGATACAGAACCCCAGTTCCCAATAGCAAAACATTTAAAAAAAAATTAACCCAAAGTCTGATTTTACGTAGAACTGAATTTCGGCATATGATCGATAAATTGGTGCAAGATTCCCCGTCCGAAAAGAGTTTTGCTCAAAAAGTTGTTTTGTTCAGTTCGGTTCCATGTAAAATCAAAAGCAAAATTTTATTTTAAAATAATTTTTTAAAATATAAATTTTATTTTAAAAAAATTTTGGGTGTAATGTAAGTATTGCCAAAAAATCGAAAATCGAAAAAACCAAACAATTATTAGACCTTAACTCAATGTATTTTCATGTGAATATCTCTCAGCGATATCAAATTTTCATACCAGAATGCCTTCTCCTCGCAGTTTCCCTCAGTCCCATTTGGCAGATATCGGGCAAGGCGTTCCAAAATCTTAATCTGTTGAACTATGAATTGGCTAACACCGAAACGCGCCTTGCTTTGTCTGGCTGAAATCGCAAAAACTTCATTCACGAAAAGCTCCCATTACTGCCCATTTAAATGGAATGTATCTATTCATATATTGGCCATACATATTGTGTACTCGTATTCCCCTCGCTTTCAGTCGCCGTCCATAAGATCACTGATCACCGATCACCGATCAATCAATCAATCGACCGATCGCTCGCTCGCTCGCTCGCTCGCTCAGCCGGCATGCTTTAGCTGTACTCGTAAATGTTTCTTATACGCATAATCGTGCTCCACATCCGCCGTATGGAAGAGCCCTCATAGACATCCACATTACACATATACAGTGCGTTTCAAAACTTTTACATAACTCAATTTGCAACTAAAGCTATGTCCCAAGATGTGGAAGGTATGGCCTGTTATCTAGATTTAATAAAGGCAGGTACTTAGGATCGTCTAAAGTTAGTGAAAGAACGGATGCTATGTTGGCCCTTTGGTTATGAAACGGACTGTACATTGTGGTGTCATCTGAATGGATCAATTAGCGTGTAGGCCTCATCAGCGCCCCCATATCTCGTTTCCTTTCTATAGTTCTGTTGCAAACTACTCGTAATGTTTCTCTTTTCCCAAAATTTATTTACTGATCCCAAATCTATCTTTTGTTTCTTGCCACATGCTGAATCGACCGACATACACTAAATACACTAAAAACAACTACATACATCACATTCCAACCACATATCGCTCAACTATTGAACCAAAAAACTTATCCGATAACGAATTCAGTCGTTCAAGGTAACAAAATAACCAAATTCCGTTTTAATATTGAGTTTACGAGTATGTGCTTTGGCTTTGGCTTTGATTTGCAATTTGCGTTGTTGTCCTGCAGAACGAATAGAATGCGATGGATCCATTTGCATGACTCTCACCCCCAGAATGTGATTTGAACGGCATGTGAATGAGTAAAGCCTTTTGGGGGTATCTCTATATGAGATTTATAAATAGCTTGGACTTAACTGTACCGAATTGTAGCTAATTTAGTTCGCACTTAGAGCTGCTAGTTTACCAAACGAAGGAAGGCATCCAGAGGTTCTTCTTTTGAGTCGAGTAACAGATGGACACGAAATGCAGACGAATGGAAGTTTTTTTGGGGTTGTGACTATGTATTTGGGTATTTTTTTGTGCCACCTATTTGAAAGATTTGTATAAATTAAGCACCTTTAAGCTCCACCTACATTTAAGTGTTAAATTCGTTCTAAATGTTGAAAAGTGCACGCCAGCCAAATCGATTATCGAAAATCGTTAGTTAACTATGTAAATAATTGCCTGCTAACTGCCATATGATCGTAGAAACATGAGAATAAAATCTATGTATTTCCATTGTGCTTCCTTTCAAACGTTCTCCCGTGGCGGAACAACTCTGGCACTCTGCGCGGAACACATAATGTTTCCAATGATCAATTTCTATTCGAATCTTTAAATCAATCAAAACCAAACTCTTTTCTACCACCACTCCGTTTTGTAAACCGATTTAGTTCTTGAACGTAAGTAACTGTGTCACACGCACACAACCACACGCATCACATCACATCTCGTGCACACACACTGCAGAAAGAGCGACAGCAGCATCTGTACATTTCTATCGATTTGCCATCCAAAAGCAAACCCAATCAACGCACCATCAAGTCCACAGATTGAACCACATTTGGTCTCTACATCATAGTGCAATCATTTGGCATTAACCACATTTTAGAGTCGAATTCAAACCAAAATAAAATTGGCAATTCCGTGATTGTTACAAATTGATGTTTATATGTACACCCCCCCCAAAAAAGTACCCAAATCAGCTTGAGCATACTCCAACCTTCCATTCAGCAGTTCAATTTGCTTTTATTTTTACTTTTAATTTGATGTTTGAGCACTTTTCTGCACACATAATTTGAATCCAACTGATCAATGTGCCTTGTCTTTTGAAGGAGAACGGCGAGAACGGAGCTCTGAGAAAGTTCTACGAGGTCATTATGGACAACGGCGGCGAAGTGCTGGACGACATCACCAACCTGTCAGAGGTCACAATTCTGGCACCCAGCAATGATGCCTGGAATGCATCCTTAATCGAAAATCTTTTAAGGTAAGAAGCTTAAATGTTTAATAAACACGGAGTGTGTCTTATTTGATTTCCTTCGACTCTCAGAAACCGCAAGAAGATGAGGGAAATCCTGAACATGCACATTATTCGGGACCGCTTGAATGTGGATAAGATCAGGCAGAAGAATGCCAATATGGTAAGTGGTCGCTGTGGCTGAGAATCAAAGACGGTGTTTTGCTTAGCTCATCGTATCCACCGACAGATTGCTCAAGTGCCGACCGTCAACAACAACACGTTCCTGTACTTCAACGTCAAGGGCGAGGGCACCGATGCCGTGATCACCGTCGAGGGCGGTGGTGTCAATGCCACTATCATACAGGCCGACGTTGCACAGACCAATGGCTACGTACACATTATCGATCGGGTCCTGGGCGTTCCACACACCACAGTTCTGGGCAAGCTGGAGTCCGATCCCATGATGAGGTATGCGCAGTCTTGATTTTTGCATCTGAACAGCTCCGTGATAGAAGATTCTCTCCACACTCCACAGTGACACCTACAAGATGGGCCAGTTCTCACACTTCAACGATCAGCTGAACAACACTCAGCGCCGCTTCACCTACTTCGTGCCCCGGGACAAGGGCTGGCAGAAGACCGAGCTGGACTACCCATCTGCCCACAAGAAGCTCTTCATGCCTGACTTTTCCTATCATGTACGTTGGCCATTTCCCAAGCGAAGCTTCCCCTAATGTCCCATTCTTTCTTTTGATTTTTTTTCAATTGCAGTCAAAGTCTATTCTGGAACGCCATCTGGCCATTGCGGATCATGTGTTCACCATGAAGGATCTGGTGCAGTACTCTGAGCAGGCCGGCAACGTTGTTCTGCCCACATTCCGCGACTCGCTCCAACTCAGAGTGGAAGAGGAGGCTGGACGTAAGTTATCTACCGAGCCGGCGACAGGGCACAGTGCTCTAAATGCTTCTCTTTCGATTCATTTCAATCAATACTTGATTTATTCTATTGGTCCCCCTCCCTGTATGCTGTATTACTAACTGAACCTGTTTTTCTATATAACTCTCGACCTAAAACTTCTCGCTTATGCTTAACAAAATCTAACCGTTGTCCAAACAAAAGACCTACATGATGAGAATGCTAGTCACGAATGGACTGGTGAGTGCTGCAGTTTGTCTAACCCACCCCCCCATCGCACAGCCCACAAAAATCTGTCCTGCCCGTGCTCACATTAGCAATCCATCGAAAACCACATAGAAACATACATACCGCATTCGAGAGTGGAGGAGCAATGATTCTAATTCTGAAATCTTTGCTTTACAGGCTATGTGATCATCTGGAACTACAAGAAGATCAATGTCTATCGGCCCGATGTGGAGTGCACCAATGGAATCATCCATGTCATTGACTATCCGCTGCTGGAGGAGAAGGACGTGGTTGTGAGCGGAGGTAGCTATCTGACAGAATCAAGCATTTGCATCATTTTGGCCAACCTCATAATGATAACAGTAGCAAAGATCTTGAACTAAACGCATCCAATATGTAAAAATCCAAATCAAAAAGCAACCGCAAAAGCGAATCAAACAACAACCGCAACACATAGCAACCACCACAGTCGTCTACAAACACCTACCAATCAGCCGATCAAATCCAAACCCCAAAAACAACATTCAAAATCAGACAAATATGAAATATATATGGATATATTTATAGCCAGCACTAGATATATATATATCCATATGATATCCACGTATTGAAGAACAAGCAATCAAAACTGTATCTGTATTATATGGGTCACAAGCCACATGCCTCATGCCCCCCACATACATACATACATACACATTCAGACACACACGCATGCAGAAAAACAATCTGCTAGATAGATTTGCTTTAACATAACATGACAGCTTTCCTCTAAAGATGATGATTGATAATGAGAATGAAGATGGAGATGAAGATGGAGATACTCGTAAAGATGAAACGAGAGACGAGATGAAACCTTTACTTTTAAGTATTAAACTGGATACCCCTTCTAAGGCCTTATGTATTATATGAAATATATAACCCATTGTGTAACATTTTAATTTTATGTTCGACATATACTGATAGCTTACGTTCATGTCTCTCTACGTTCATCGGCTCGCTAAGTTTAACATTTAACCAGCGTACATACATATGTATGTATGTGTGCATATCTGTACGTATCGTATGGATAGGAACCATTGAATATCTGATTTTGTTTATGATTTTAAGTGTACATTTTATTTGTGAATTGCTTGTTTTAGTTAATGGTCTTATTTATGAGTTATCCTAAGTAGAATGCGTATCGTATCGTATCCCATTCATGTACATGTCAACGCAGAAGCAATAAGCGCATCACATACTCACACACTACTAAATACACATACACTTACATTACCATTACACACACACACACATACAAGAACATTGTAAAATTCGATAAAGTGTGAAAGAAAGATATTTGAATAATAAACTGAAAGTTTTTCATTTGTAAATTCGATGGTACTCGTACGAAACGAAACGAAATTCTTAACTTGTAAGCCCCAGCAGCATATCCTTGCTTGTCTCTAAATCGAATGAAAGACAAGAAACGAGCGAGCAAGCCAGAACAAAACTATTACCGAAAGAACAACAAAATTCAACTAAATGAAATGCCATCCTGCACTTAGTTTTTAGTCCTGCTATGCATGTAAGCCCCCATACAGAACAGAATAGACACTCACACACACACGCCACACATCAGACATCCGACATCCGACATGGAGCGAAGATAGCAACTGCAATTTAGGTTCGAATGTTTCTATACTGCCATCAACTACGAACTACTACAAAACATACTCCAGCACTCCCTGTATCCTCTGGGATAAGTTTACATAACAGAACACGACATCTGCATACTCTCACTGAATGGATTTTGATACAAATTTTAACCTGCATACAATATATGTATAAATACAAGACACTATGTATTTGTGAAATGTATGTACGATGATGATGATGATGATGATGTGAACCAGAACAAATTCTCCTCCCCTGCTGCATCTGTTGCAGTTGCAGTTGCATTTTAAACCTTTGAATGTAGTTGTCATGTAAAATTTATAAAAAACAAAAACAAAAAACAATCTAGTTTATAGTCTGATTTAGAACAACCCGATGCTAACTATACAAACTCTTTTTCTATTCCTCTCTGTCTCTCCCCGAATAATGCCATGTACTTATAGGTTAGACATTGTAACTAGCGTGTGTGTCCCAACCTACCATACAAACAAAACTGAGCGTTAAACATTGAACTGCTACTACTCTCCTTCTCTTCTATGTAAACCTCCCCAAGAGAAACATGCATTAACTATCAGTACACACTATTATCAACACTACACCTTACACAGAAAGACACAGAACCACCCACTTACGATACTCGAAATACTCGTACTGTAGCGAAAATCTCTCTCAGTTGTAGTTCGAACAGCTAATTCCCGATCTGATCGGATTATCCCTTCCCCCCCCCCCCCGACCACAAGTACCAGTTCCAGAAATCTTTATCTTTAGTAGGCGGCGGTGTCGTCGCTGCAATGTTGCAATGTATTGCTTGTACTGTAAGCAGATTAGTTTGTTTCGTAGCAGCTAAAAGAAAAAATGAAATGTACTCGTATGTAGAAATGAGGATTACGCTAAATGAAAGTATGTACACGTAAGCTTTAAAGAAGAGTGCTTCGAGGAGTGGTGCAGATGGATGGTGCAAAGGATGGATTGCACTTGCAATTTGTGTGTCGTAGTCAGTAGTTGCACGTTGGCCAGCGTCGGCCTGGCGTGCAACTAGTGCCTTACTAAAGATAAACGCATTACCTTAACCTTTATACAAATTTACTCGATTGAAATGTATGAAATTAAATGAATTATTACTTCTAACAACTAACGAAGAGTGCAAATGGTCAAGAGCATAAGCGAAGCTGCATTTATTTGCTAGCTACATACAATACACCACACAATACAATAAAATACAACACAAGCCACTTGTAAAAGTCAAGAAACATATGGAATGTGTAAGAGAAGAGAATTATATTTATATCGCGCCGGTTCTGCTTCACCATACAAACATAAGTATACGTACAGCATAAAAGATATACATACCTACTACAGAATTGATATTCAGCCACACGCTATTTACACCAAATACATAAAATACAGATCAAGGAAATCATATTTTTCATATATTTGTCAGAATATTACTATAACGTAAAATGTAGTCTAATTACTGGTCAACTCCAAGAACATCACGATTGGGTGGTGAATTGTATCTCAAAGGAAACACCTAATCATGTATTGTATCTATATTTAGCAATTGAGTTTTGAAGCAATCGTTAGCCACGAGAATATATCAGAGTACGAGTATGCATATATACTACATATATATGAAACCAAGCTTAAACTATGGAAAACCGCAGTGCAAAAGAATATTATTCCATTTTATTTTATGACAAACGCTTTTTACAAATAAACCAAAACCATTTGAATCGTAAAGGAGCAAGATTATATTTAGCATTAGTTAAACCAATTAATACATGTACTAGTAAACAGAATGTCAACCTCTACAGCATGCTTGAGCGAATAATAAAATTTCAAAAATACATACTATATATGACTAAAAACACTGTGTTTTATTCGAGCATTCAAATTCAAATTTCTGTTTGAAATGGTATGTAAGTACGGCGCTAATCTCGCGCTCATGGTGGTGTTTTTTAGTACATTACATTAGTACATCTTTGCGGAACTAGTTCTCACAATTATTTTAGTGTGTAGAGATGTCAGATGGGGATAAATCTTGCAAAACATAATTTTTTTCAAAATAATAGCCGCCATTTCATTTATTTTCCGAAAATACCGATAAAATCAAATTCATATATTAGGAAATAATAATCATTGTCATTGTCAATGGAGCGAGCTGCATAATTAGTTTTCTAGACGTCAATAAACTTTTATAAACTTGCCTCCATGGTATGGTAATTAAAATGTGTGTCATCCAGGCTCCAATTAATGCAATGACCGGTTTTATGATTTTTTTTTTGTATATTTAGTAGACATGCAAAAGAGATTACTGAGGTTTTAAAGTAACTTGGAAAGCAGAATTTCAACATTAATTAAAGGATAAAGGGTATACAAATGTGCATACTGCATAAATATGTATGTTGTTGATATGTAGCAAATATGTAGTTGGCATGTAAAAACGGAAATTTTGTGTATAACCTGATTTTACAAACAATCCAATAAACGGAGGTGCTTCAAATTAGCCAGTCATGTAGAAAATTGATTCATCAAATTATAAAAGGCCATGTTTACCGCTGAGGGTCCTTGTTACCAATTAATATTAGATTAGAAAAATTAAGGAATCTGATTTTCATCGGTATATTTACGGTATAATTTGAAAAAGTGACGTATATTTCGGTATATTTCTGAGGGTTCCGCGGGCACACTGTTAACATAAACAAAAACTGCAAGATGCAGGCATTCTAATTGAAAAAAACACTAATTACTCGTTATACGATATTTAAGACAAGACATCTCTTATTTGGAGAAATAAAGATAAGCCGGGGTATTTGTTGCGGTTGATGTTGGTTGTTTGCTGATTGCGGGTGTTGACGAGGTATTTGCCTTACCAGCGCTATGAAGAAGCGGAGCAGTTGCAGTTCGGAGGCGTTCAAGGAGCAGCAGATGGACAGTGACGACATCAGCCTGCTCCAGCGACCATTGCGCACGGCCCACACAGGCTTCGAGGAGGCGCGTCGAGCCTACGAGGATGGCACTAACGAGGTAAGCATCGCTTACGCACAGGCTGTCTACGTGACTCAGCCTAGTGCAGCAATGGCGAGCCACGAACATTCCTTGGCATCGAATTCCGTGTGTTTATGTTAAGTATCTGGTATTGGTATTGAATATCTGCAGGTGCGCCAGCTGCTCAGCCAGGAGTGCAGCCTCATATACGAGTGCAAAGTTTGCCGCAACATGTTTCGCAGTCTTGCAAATTTCATCAGCCACAAGCGGGTCTTCTGCTGTGTGAGTGCCCGCACAGCCCAGCAGAACGGATACACAGTGAGTTCGCAGTAAAGACAATATCGTATTACCACATTTATTTCTCGGGGAAATCGTGTGAATCATCATTTGAATTCACTTGCAGGACCACAACTCCACCATGATCATACAAACGGGCAATGCGTCGTCGCATCAGGACATTGAGCACATGCTGCGTAGTCGTAGCACTGGCTGCTCGCCAGTTCCTCGCGAAGTTCGTCCCATACGCGGCAGTATGCGAGACCTGAGTGGCGTCATCGAGCGTCTGCGACGCGAGAAGGCACCCTCGACCGTGCAAAACACGCCCACGGTGCTGAAGCTGGAGTCGGTCCCGACCTCCAGTCAGGCCGTGTACCAAACGATTAAAACCGATGACCAGGATGACAGCATACGAACCGAAATAAACGAGGTGCATCATATGCTCAATCCCGGAAGCACTATTGTCGGCCCAGATGGCAAGGCAATGACCACAATCAAATGCGAGCGCCAAGGCGGCAGTGAATCGGGCGAAACGGCCGAGCAATCTATCAGCGATGACACAGAAGCGAACATATTGTGCGAGATATGTAAGGCAATCCATAGATAGATCCGAGTAGGCTGTGGAACTAATTTTCGTCTTGTGTTTTACATTCTAACAGGCAACCTAACATTTCAAACTCATAAAACTCTGAAAGTGCACATACAAAAGAATCACTCGGCGTCGACGTTTGTGTTTCAGTGTCCAGCCTGTTCTGAGACCTTCCTGCAGGCCGCAGCGGTTATACGTCATTTAACCAACAATCACAAGTGAGTAGAACAACGTCAAAATGTGGATTAATAAGCCAGTCGGCAGTAGATGGTAGCTGTTAAATTCTGTTAGAGATACAAATCTAATTTGTATTTTATTTGGCAGGAAACCGACGCGTCGCATTCGAATGATGCGTAGCAACATTATCAAGAATCCCATACAACAAGGAGACATTCAGACCAAGGGGCCCTCGCGCGAGCTGAAGCGCCTGCAGATGTCCGATGACGTGGTTGGCTATGCTCCAGAGCCGGCAGATGCGAGTGGTGAGAAGCTTAAAATTATGTCACCGTGCATTTACTGTGACAAGTCGTTCGAGCGTCGGGCCGCCTTGTCCACCCACCTGCTCAACTGTCGAGCCAAGCAGAAGGCACTGGCCAAGCCTGCTCCTGGAGTCAAGAAGCTGAAAGCGAAAGCAAATCTGAGCAATGCCTCTAGTGTTGACGGAGCTGATGCAGAGGATGCACCAGATTCTGACGCCGTAGATCTGTCGGCCATCGAACGTACCATTAAGCAGGAACCTGACGGCGACACGATTGTTCTCAACGAAATGTTTGCCGACCTGGCGAAGAAGAATGACTCATTCGTAACGGGGCTGCATACGGTCTCACTGGACAAGCTTCACCTGCCCGACGAGTCCGACTCGGG